AACATTTAAAATTGAAATTTAATACAATTGTATTTATATATAAAATAATAATTATCTAAAAATATTATATATATGTATGTATGTATATATTAAATATAAATGCATTTATAATCAAATAAAATCCAAGTGTTGCCTATCCCTAAAAGATAACCTGTTGATGAAAAACAGTTTATGAATCATTTAAAATTAGAATACAAATTCTATTCAAATTCTAGCCCTAAAAGATGACTTAAAACAGTAAACAAAATAATGAAATAAAATTGAAAAATAAAATGAATTACAAATAAAATGTAATATAAAAAATAACATAAACGCAACAAACAAACGTAACGTACCAAAAAATAAACGTAATATAATTATATTTATAATAATATACAATCATCAAAAATAAAATCCGCACACGGAAAAATAGGCCACAATTTTCCAGAGGCTACAAATAAAGTGCAAAGGTTTGGCTTAACCTTTCAAAGAAAGACTTAACCCTTCATCAGTGCCAAAATAAACTTTTTTGCACATTTTGCACTTAATTTGTGGCATCTGGATAATAAATTCATATGTGCGCTTTGGCCTATTTTTTTCATACGCGGATCTTATTTGTATTATTTTGAACTTGTGTCTGGCGCTATGCTTTTCCATTCTCTTCATTCAAAATATACAATAAAATAATTTAATAAAAATGTTTACAAAATCATAAAGTAAAATATAATTGTGTTTATAATGAAAATAAAATTAAAAAAACGACTACATCCTACCCCTAAAAAAATGGGTTGACAAAAGAAAGTTTATGAATAATTTAAAAATAAGATTCTACCCTAAAAGATAACTTTAAAAATGTAACTAAATAAACAATATAAAAAAATAAGATAAAATTCAATTAAATTCTAATTGAAATTAAGTATTATTGTATTCATAATAAAACAAAAACATGAATGTGAATCTTTTTGAATGTGTTTGACTGCACAATCATGCATATAGTTCAAGGATGAGGAAGTTTGAATGTTTCTGGAGTTTCTACTGTAACCCTTCAGTCCTACGGCTCTCGTTCGGGGAAAACCCAACATGCAGAAAAATGTTACAAGCAATTAAAGAACCCCACCCTACATAAGTTGATTAATTAATACAATTAAAGACGGCTGCATGACAAAAAAAGGCCGATCATAATGAAAAGGACGCTTTGAGTTTCAGGAGCACTTGGACGAGATTACAGTGATGCTCAAATACTGTAATTTACTCTCTCTGACACATGATGAATAAGAGCTATTAGAAAAATACCGCAAAAATATTTACCAAGCAATTAGCTGCAAGGATTTACACGTTTTTAATTGGTAGGGAAAATACGCAGAGCGGGCAGCATGTTTCTGTTGGGTACCGTCATTAAAGGGCATTTTCAGCATAGCCCGACTCAAACTTCCTTACACCAACACCTGCGGGACGGAGGGACACCTGCCAGGCTTTATTTAGCTGCTGCTGACCGCTTCCATATGTACATTACCACATGCTTCTTATCTCAGCTCACTTACAGCTTCAATCTGCAACTGTGTTTTTCATCTAGAATTTAGAAGTCAGCGGTGTCTAATACCAAGATAACAGTTTTACTGTAGTAAAAAATACATTTTTTTAATGTCCAGTTCTTATGGACAAAATATATGTTGTAAACAGCTAAATATATTTCTTTAAAATACCAAAATATATATTCCAATCTTAAAAATACATTTTGGGTGAATTCACAATGTATTCATTTAAAAACTATTTTTGGAGAAAGTAATATATTTAAACAATAACAAAAAAGTATGAACATTAGTATAAGATGATATGTATATTAGTGCTGTCAAATAATTCATTGTGATTAATGGCATCCAAAATAAAAGTTTTGTTTACAGTTAATATGTATGTGTGTGCACTGTATATATTTGTTACGTATATATAAATACACACACATGCATGTATATTTAAGGAAAAGGTTTATATATTAAATGTACATGTATATAATATAAATTACATGAATATAAATATATACATGTAAATATTTTCTAAGTATATACTGTATGTGTGTGCATTTACATATACATAATATATATATATATACACAGTACACACCCATATTATGTAAACCAAAACTTTTTTTTGGATGCGACAGATCATTTGACAGCACTTCAAATATAAAATATAAATATAATATATATATATTTAAAAAGCTGAAAATATGTATTTTTTGCTGTATGGCTTCAGTGTGTGTTTGTGTGATTTTTCACCTGTTTTATGGTTCAGCAGGTGTAAAAATGCAGCACAGCTCTCTTTAGCAACAAACGTCTAGAGCACAAACGCTGCATGCTGACACACACGCTCAACATTGATACTTCAAACTAACAATGCGGTTTTGTTCAGATCACTAGTAGTAACAGTGGTGCTTGCACTAGCAGTATTGGAGCGTCTCTCCCGCTGTTCTCTTTCCTTACACAAACAGACCTGTCGCCTGCACATCACCAGCACTCAGAGTCCCGCCCCCTTCACACCTGTCAGTCATTCGGCCGTGAAGTCCTGACCGGGGCAAAGAACAAAAGCTACCTTCATGATCGCCTGCCACCCCCGATCCGAGCGGGAATCTACTGGGAATGAGGCCTCAAAACAGTGTTGCCAAGTCCACTGTATTCCCGTGGAACTGGGCTTCTTTTATACTGTTGCTGCAGGTCAGGGATCCTCAAATCTGGCCCACGAGATCCACTTTCCTGCAGAGTTTAGCTCTAACCCTAATCAAACACACCTGAGCAAGCTAATCAATGTCTTCAGGATCATTAGAAAATCACAGGTAGGTGAGTTTGATCAGGGTTGGAGCTAAACTCTGCAGCGCATTGGCCCTCCAGGGCAAGATTTGAGGAACCCTGCAGTAGGTTCTTGGGGGTTGAAACGAAGTTGATAGCCAATTTGCCACACTGTAAAAAAAAAAGCTCGTAAAAAAATGGTAAATGACTGGCAGCTACGGCTGCCAAACAAAAACCGTAAAATTAAAGTAAAATATCTTAATTGAAATTTAATTTTACAGAAATTTTCATTAAAGGTTTTACAGAAAAAAAAAATATTTTACAGATTTTTCCTTGTTTCAATTATGATATTTTACTTTAATTTTATAGTTTTTGTTTGGCAGCCGTAGCTGCCAGTCATTTACCATTTTTTTACGGGACTTTTTTTTACAGTGCACGTAATGCGATTGGGCTAGTTTAGACTGTGATTGGGTCAGTTTTGAGTAGCAGTTTTGCTGGTTTTGTTAAGTAGACCTGGCAACCCTACCTCAAAACATCATTCAAAACAGGAGCGTTTACCATTTTATACTGTTGGGCTAGATTTGACAATGATTGGGCTGGTTTTGTTGCGCAGACATCTAACTGTGTTTATAATTTATCATGTAAGTCAGTAGTGTCTAATACCAAGTTAACAGTTTTACTGTAGTAAAAAAAATGGGCCTATATATCCTTTTTTTTGTTTTTTAATGTTAGTTTTGATTAGCAATTGGGCTGGTTTTGTTAAGTAGACCTGGCAACCCTTCCTCAAAATGTTATTCAAAACAGGAGCATCTACCATTTTATACTGTTGCTGCGGTTGGGTTAGATTTGACCGTGATTGGGCTGGTTTTGTTGCACAGACCTGGCAACCCTGAGGTCTACATACAGGATGTTTGATATTTCATATGACATAAAAACATTGTTTTTCCATGTTTTGCGAGTGGTGCTTAAACATCTTGAAACTTAAGGTATGAAACTGTGGGAATGATTACATTCGTTAAAAAAAAGGCTAAAATCCTTCCCTTCAGGCACAGAGAGGTGTTTTGTGTTTTAATTGGCCGCCTCTGCTCTATCTTTGCTCGTTCTGATCTACGGTCTGAAACCGGAGCCGCAGGAAGTGGCCCTGCAGACCGTCTTGTCAGCGAAGACAAATTATTCCATTGACAAAAAAGCAGGCTGTTTTTCTTCTCATTTTTTCCCCCTGTCTTTGCGTCGTTCCTGTTGTTTTTGTATCCCCCCTAATGTACCGGACGGGCCTCTTTTTAAAAGCTGTTACCTGAGTTATTGAGAGGGGATGAAAAGCGGCCCCGGGGTTTTGCGCTGATCTCCGAGGCGGCGCAGACCCCTGCGCTCAGGAAAACTCTCCCCGGAGGTTTGCGGTATTCCGGCCCGCTGAGCCTCCCGGTTTTTTGGCCGTGCTGGAAATTCCGTGAAAACAGTGCCTGGATGAAAACCAGGTCTATTTTTACGTTTCCTTTGAAAGGGGTTTCAGTCTTATCATCGAGTCAGGCGTATCACCTTCCTCTGCAAACTCATCTCGAAATCAGCCTCGCAACGAGACGCCGAAATATGCAGAAAATATCTGATTATGTTGACTCAAGTACCAGTTCCTGGAAAAGCAAGCGTATTTTCAGATGTACTTTTTCATGGTGTTTGCAAAATCACTTGTACTATCACTAACTCAAAAGTTTGAGGTCAGAAAGATATTTTTTTTTTCTTTTTTGAAAGAAATGAATACTTTTATTCAGCAAGGATGCATTCAATTGATCAAAAGTGACAGTAAAGACATTTTATAATGTCACAAAGGTTTTTTTTCTTCAAATAAATGCTGTTCTTTTTTAACTTTCTAGTCATCAAAGAATCCTGAAAAATACCACAAAAAATGAAGCAGCAGAGCTGTTTTCAACATTGATAATAATCAGAGATGTTTCTTGAGCAGCAAATCAGCATATTAGAATGATTTCTGAAGATCATGTGACACTGAAGACTGGAGTAATGATGCTGAAAATACAGCTTTATGTCACAAGAATAAATTACAATTTACAGTATATTACAATAGAAATCTATGCAAGCCTGTTAAAAAATAAAAAGGTAATTGCGCACTTCTGAGAAAAAAAATCATAATTGTGATTTAACTCAGAATTCTAAATTTTTCTTACATTTTTGAGTTTATATCTTGCAATTCTGACTTTTTTCATCAGAATTCTAAATTAAAATGTTTTATTTACCCCCGCCCCCACCACCACCACCACAGAATAAAAAATAAAAAAGGTAATTACGACTTTTTATCTCATTATCTGGACCTTTCTTCTCAGAATTGTGAGTTTATATCTTGTAATTGTTTTTTTGTTTTTTTCAGAATTACAAGAAAAAAGTAAGAATTGTGACATAAAAAGTTGTAATTACTTTTTTCTTTATCCTGTGGCAAAAACAAGTTTCCATAGAAATCAGCTATTTTAAATTGTAATAATATTTCACAATATTACTGCTTTTACTGTATTTCTGATCAAATAAACACAGCCTTGGTGAGCAGAAGAGACTTCTTTAAAAAAATCTTACAGACTAAAAACTTTTGAACGGTATGTATGTTACTTTTTGCAATATTTTGCAACACTGTGCAGGGATTCAAAGAAATTACTTAAGCTATATTTTTGATCACATAAATTCAGCTTTGGTGAGCATACTGTTCAAAAACAATATAAAATCATACCAACCACAAACTATTGAACGTCACCATCACTAAACGCTCAGACTTTTTAACCTATAGGACACAATTAAACATGCAAAACAATGAGCATCCTGAACGCTCCTCTGAGGTGATTCGTCCCCGTACGACCCAAAGCCACCTACTTCATGTTAAGCTCTGCGCTCTGATTAGGGGCCAGAGAGCCGGACTGGTCCATCTCTGCACCCCTCCGCTGGCTAATTGTTTGCAAACTTTTGCACGGGCCGCCCAGGGGGCACAAGCGTGGTCATTCTCACCGTGCTGACCCCAAAGCTAAACAGGGTCACTCGCAGCTGTGCCCACAGGCCACTGCTCCCAGTGACAAGCTCAGCTGACTCCTGACCCCGGCGATTAAATATCGGCCAGATTCATCTGCAAACATTTAGGCAGTGTCACCTCCGCCGGGCCCGTGACACTCCTGTAATTCTGTTATATTCTGCACACAGGAGCCGCAGGAGCACACATCAGCTCACTGGGCTCTGCTCCAAAACCTAGTGAGCACCCTAGATAGACGGCATCAGAACTATGCTGCCTTCTAAGATGCTTCTTTTGGTCAAACAAACTAAACATATCCAATAAGACGTTTAGAGAATTAGTGATTAAAAACATATTTTATCCAATACTGAAAATATTGAATATTTTAATATGATTAAAATTGGACTGTTGCCCTAATATTTGCACTGGAAAAAATGTCTTTATTTATTTTTATTACAAATAATTCTTAATACAAGATACATATATGAGAAGCAACATTATTTAAGATGTTAAAAATAAAACAGATTAAATCCTGTTCTCTGAAACATCACAGTATCACAATTAAGTGAGTTTATGCTTAAAAAAGGCAAAAAAAGACCTGTTGTGTGGACAGAAATCTAGTTTTCCCTCTGAATTAAGTTTATATTTCTGTCCCCATTTGGCAGATATTTCTTCTTGTTTTATTAAGCATAAACTGAATAATATATAATATTTATATAATATTTTATGTCTTTATTTCTGTTTTATAATATCATTTTATTTCTCAAGTAAATGTATCTTCATTTCAAAAAAATGTTTATTTATTTGTACTGGAATTTGCACAAGATATTATGTAAACATTACATAAGATATTACATCTTGTTTTCTCTTAAATGTTTCTAAATTTAATGAGTTTATGAGGAAAAAAACATGTGCCAGTTGGGTATGAAAAATAATCTTGTTTCACCTTTGACCTTAATCTTCTGACCTTATTGGCAGATATTTTTGTCTAGTTTTAAGCAAAAAAACAAAAAAGTAATTATTTTATTGTATTTATTTAATTTTTAAACAAGACTGTATCTTATATTATTTTGCTGCTCAAGTAAATGTATCTTGATTTAAGAATTTTTAGATGTTTTGTTTTTTTGCGCAATAGGCAAACACCTTAGCACCTTAGCCTTAGAAGACAGTTAGTTGCCTATGTCGGAAGTACACAGCTAGGCAGCTGAGCTCACTAGGTTTTGAAACAAAGCCATTTAATCTGGATTTACAGTGTGAGGCCTCTATGTATATTCAGATTGCCCTTGCACTGCCCTTCTCAAAGACCAAAGACCTGAAGACTTCCAAACATGTCTCAGATTAGAGTGATTTTGTAAGGATCATAGGACGGCCTGACCTCTGAACTCTGACCTACCAGTCTTCCTGAGAGGGAAGTCCTCTCTGTAGTCCAGGCCGGAGGTCAGAGGGTATTTGAAGGTGGGCGGAGTCTCTCCTAGAGGAGCCGAGCTCTGCTCTGCTGGACCCGGGTGGGCGGAGCTGTGAGAGATGGCATCATCACACCACCTTACACTCTGGACACTTTTGATTCGACACAAATCCTATTATTTTATTAAACATTCACATGGAAAAGAAGTCTGAAAGGCACAGATCTGCAGTACAGTGCTCTTGAATGGAGGTGCGGGAGGCTGATGTACCTGTACCACAGTTTGGAGCGGTTGAGAGGGTAACCGGCGCCGGACGCTGACGGGTCTTTAGCTGATTTACTCATCAGAAAGTCGTGCAGCTTCTGACGAACTTCAGTGCTCGCCATCGCACCTGCTGAAAACAAGTTACGAACCGAGTTAGACTTTATGACAGATTAAAGCATCAGATATCAGCCTATATGTGATTCTTTTACAGAGTTAATATGTAATGGAAATGAATAGTTTATGGAATTGAACTGTACTCAAATATTATTTTGTATTTTATATACATTTTAAATATTAAATATAAAGTTACATATTTATTTAATACATTTTAAGTCTATTTGTTCATATTTGTTTTAAGCCCTAATAATTTTCCTTGTAATCTATTAGTTTAACATTTAATTTGCTGCTGTATGCTATTTTTATGACATTATCTCAAGCATACTTTTATATCATTTTGTATTTTAATATTCAAATAGAATTTCAATTTTAATTATTATTCAAATAAAATATTTAATTATAGTTTTATATTTAAATATCAAGAATAAATTAAATCTTTATTTCACATATTTTTATATTCATTCACATTTATGTATTTCATTCTTTTTTTGTTTGCTTTAAAACCCCTGTATGCTATCTTTGACATTATCTCAAACATTTTTTTTTGTATTTAAATATAATTCATTTAAATGCTTAAGTATAATTTTATATTTAAATATTAAATATAAAATTAAATAATTATCTCATACATTTTACTATCTGTTCTTATTTATGTATTTCATTGTTTATTTTGTTTTAAAACCTAATAATACTTATTTGTAATCTAGTCATTTAAAATGTTTGCAGTATGCTTCACAAATAAAATTTAATTTTAATCGTCTGAAAACGTTAATATGACTTAACAGCAGTACTATTTGTATATCATGAATTCAATGCATTTTGATTATTTAATATTGTCACTCTGCTCATGTTACATGTGCAGAAAGGAGAGACGTGTGCAGAAACAGCGTCACCTAGTGGTGAATAAAGCAATTTGCAGGATTGAGTCGTAGGTGAAATGTAACTGGACTTAAAAAAAGACAAGCAAAAACAGAAGCACTGTCATTATTTTTCTAAACTTATACATTATCGCTAAAATGAAAGTTGAAATGACTGGCAGAGGCAGTTGTTTTCTCACTCTCTTTAGATCGCTCCTTCCGTCTGTGATGCTGGTGTTTCTGTGTCTCCCTCCTGTGAAGCTCCTTGTCGTCCTCCCTCACCTCCTCTCTCTCCTCCTCAACAAACACCTCCTGCTGCTGCCGCAGAGTTAACAGAGCCTGCTGAAGCTGAAACAGAGAGAGAAAATAACCATAAACATACAGTTTAGATTAATAAATGGCTGATGTTGATATTTAAAAATCAAATTGGCCTCTGACTGATGTAATGACGATAGTATTTGGGCATTTAAAGCACACTTTATGTATGAATGTCATGTATTAAATAACAACATATGACAGCAAGTGGCATTTATTATAAAGAAGTAGCACAAGCATACTTTTCAAAGATTACGTTTAAAGGAATAGTTCATAAAGAAATTAACATTTGCACCCTCAGGCCATCCAAGATGTAGATGAGTTTGTTTCTTCATCAGATTTGGAGAAATGTAGCATTGCATCACTTGCTCAGCGATGGCTCCTCTGCAGTGAATGGGTGCCGTCAGAATGAGAGTCCAAACAGCTGATAAAAACAAGTAATCCACACCACTCCAGTCCATCAGTTAACATCATGAGAAGAAAAAAAGAAACAAATCCATCAAGACATTTAACTTATTATGGACTCATATTTTAGCCAAAAGTAATGGTTTGAAGTTAAAACTTCTTAATAATGGATTTGTTTCTTACAAACACACAGCTTTTCACTTCTCAAGACATTAACTGATGGACTGGAGTGGTGTGGATTATTGTGATGTTTTTATCAGCTGTTTGGACTCTCATTCTGACGGCACCCATTCGGATCCATTGCTGAGCAAGTGATGCGGTGCTACATTTCTCCAAATCTGATGAAGAAACAAACTCATCTACATCCTGGATGGCTTGAAGGTGAGTTTTCAGCAAATTTTTGAGTGAATTTGAACATTCTTTTAACGTAATAAAACCAGTTAAGTTCAGTAATGTTATGTATACATTTTAGAATTAGTCTGATTCAAAGGAGAATCAGAAGGCTGAATCCTGACTGACAGAGGAGGAGCTGGGGATGGAGGAGGGTAATTAGCTATTGAAAACTGCTGATAATACTGAGGGACCTCATATATGAATGCTTAGATAGGTGTCGTATTCCCATAGGTAGATGGGGATCAGCTGAGAGTCAGCTGATGCGAGCTTGTCTAACGTGACCTACTAGAACTAACGCTAACGCTTAATTTTTAGGTGAACTATTCCTTTACAAGTCATTGAAAATAAAGAGAAATACTGCAGCATTTAAGTCCAGATGACCATTACTTTCATATTTTTGTAATTTACTTAAGTGACCAATCAGCATCCACACTGAATTTGTAAATTAAACAAATAATAAAAAAAATACTATTTCAGTCTTTCATGTCATGTTTAATTCAGTGTGCTACCTGCTGTTTCTTTTTAATTCTTTGTGAAATTTACTTGCAATTTTTAGAATCTTTATAACCACAAAAAACAACCATGCACGTATACACTCATTCACTCACATCGCGAGTAATGCAATTAAGCACAGTAATTGTTGACAGAGCAGCTCTTTCCTGCAGGTCAGCCAAGTGACCTAAAACCACACTGACCTGCTTCATATAGGAGGATCAGCTTCATCCCATCTACAAGTATCTGACACAAACAGCGTCTTGATTTGAGTTTGACAGTCCGGCTTGGTGATTTCACCGTTCATGATTATACTCTCTAATAATTGCATACTTAACATTTCTTTGCAGATTGTGCTGCATTTGCATTTGTATTTACTTGTTTTTCAATCTGGGGTCACGGTGAATGAAGGCTTGTACCTTGATGTGCTCCTCGAGCTGGGCCTGATGTTGTCTCAGCAGGTTCTGATGCTGTTTCTGGAAGTCGGAGATGAGCAGCTGTTTCTGGATCTGCTGCTGTCTCTGGATCAGAAGCAGCTCGCGCTGTAACTGCTTCTCCCAATCGTCTGAATCACAGTCCCAGTCCAACATACCGACCTCCGACATACTGCCCACCGCCGACAACACCTCTGGATCTGAAGACAAGATTTCATGGAATACTTTCAGATTAGATTGTTTTCAAAATATAGTAGCTTTTCCAGTCACACTTTTGATTCATTTTATTCAACTGGTTTGTTCAGATCAAGAACAGATTCTCTGATTTGTTTGATTCCCTGTTTGATTTGACCCTGCAAATACTGTAAAAAAAAAAAAAAACTTACACTACCGTTCAAAAGTTTGTGGTCATTAAGACTTTTTGATGCTTTTGAAAGATGACTCTTTTGCTCACCAAGGCTGTGTTTAATTGATCCAAAATACAGTAAAATCAGTAATATTGTTAAATATTTTTTTCGATTTAAAATAAGTGTTTTCTATGTGAATATATAGTCAAATGTAATTTATTTCTGTGATGCAGCGCTGAATTTCCAGCATCATTACTCCAGTCTTCAGTGTCACATGATCTTCAGAAATCATTCTAATATGCTGATTTAAGAAACATTTCTGATTATTATCAATGTTGGAAACAGTTGTGCTACCAAATATTTTTTCTGTTGAAACAGTGATACATTTTATTTTTCAGGATTCTTTGATGAACAAAGTTCAAAAGAACAGCATTTATTGGAGATAGAAATCTTTTATAACATTTTAAATGTTTTTACTGTCACTTTTGATCACTTTAATGCATCCTTATTTCTTTCAAAAGATTTTACTAACTCCAAACATTTGAACAGTAGTGTACATTTAATTTTAAAAATATATTGCCCACTTAAAGAGTTGCTTATTAATGTAGCCATAGGTACTCTTGACTGTAGATTAATACTTTAAAAACTAATTTGAAACTGTAGCTTCCCAGGCTACTTCACAGTTTAAAGTCCCCATGAAATCAAAATTAGTTTTTTGGGTATTAGTATCAATATGTTAGTCTTAAGGTTATCTATAAGGCAGTGTGCTAAAGTCGCATTTAGAAGATATAATTTTTCAAAGCTTGCAGTTCGTCACTTCCGCCAAAAATCACATGCACGAGTCGGCGCAGACCACAAAATGTATCGGAGCTATTTGAATTCTACGCAGAATGCTATATTTTATAGCAATATGGATGAGATTGTGGCTGTCAAATGCGGCTTTACGGAGCTCAACGGCTCTAGCCCAAGCTGTGATATAAACGAACGCTATTGGCTATTTTAAAAAGGGGCGGGGCTGCTTGATATGTCCCGCCCTGTCTTCCTGTTTCAGTTCAAATGACGTCAACACATAGAGTAACACTGTGTGTTTCTAAGCATTTCAGGGGACCTTTAAATTAGCTTCTCAAATATTTTAATCTAAAACAACCTTCTGGTAAATACTGTCAGCAGTTTAACTAAGTTTAACTAAGTTGCTCATCAAGCTTCTCTTCAAACTGTTGCTCCACCATGACAGCTGTTGACCTGAAAGAGACGGTTTACAATCACATACACAAACTTGCATTGCATTATGATTTGTGTTCTGACGCATTTAAGTGTGCAATGTGCGAAACTGAGCTTGTAAGTTTGCATTCACAACAAATGCTGTACAAATACCCCAGGTTTAATGCTCATACAGATTGCAAACTGATTGTGTTAGAAATGAAGGATCGCAGTGTTAGCTGCATCAAAAGACCAATTTAAATAAACCCAAGGGCAATTAGGGGCATAATCTACAGGGAGGGTCTTTTTATGGGGTCTATTTCAAATGCCTCGAGCATAAACACGGAGGTATTTCAACAACCTCGCGTTCGAGGCCCAAATTTTATTTGAGCTCAATCTAAAGCGAGACAGCATGTGACTGTCACGTTTGAGCTGCACTTAATGTATTTTTACTCATGTGAACGAAACAGCGAGAAAAGGAAAGGTGTTTGGCGTGTGTGTGTGTGTGTGTGTGTGTGTGTTTGTGTTTAGAAAAAGAATGATCTGGCCTCGTGCCCTAAAAAAGCTGCGCTGTAAAAACTCGTAAACATGCCCTTAATCTGCTGCCCGAAACAAACACCTCGCTAATAAAACTATTAGTGCATGTCCTGCTTTCCTCATGTGTTCTTCATTAGGCCCACAAACACAACCAGGAGAATGAAAAAACAACAATGAGATATATTTTAATATTTCATCTCTTTTAGTATCAATATGTCAACATATCAGTATTCAGTATCAGATTCTCAATTTTTTCTCAGATGTTTCTTGTGAGGAAAAGAAATCTCAACATTTGAGATTGTGACATAACATTTACGAGAAAAAAAGTCAAAATTATGAGAAAATCTAAATTATGACTTAAAGTGGAGATTGGCAAAAATTATGGTAAACAGTAATAATTATGACAAATGTCGACATTATGAGATTATTTTGACCTTTCATGTCATAATTCTGACTTAGTATGTCATCATTTTTACTTTTTATATCATAATTAAGACAGTATGTCATAATTTTGACTTTTTTTAATCATAATTATTACAATGACTGCCATAATTATGAATGAATTAATCATATTTATCACTTAGTATGACTTCTTAGTAGTCATAATTTCGACTTAGTATCTCATAATTATGACTTAATATGTCATAATTTTGACTTTTTATTTCATAATGACCTAATGTCAAAATTTTGACATTTTATCGCATAATGAAGACTCTGCATCTCATAATTGTGACTTTTTATCTCATAATTAAGACTTAGTATGCCGTAATTGTGACTTTTTAAATCTCATAATTATGACTTATGTCATAATTTCAAAATTTGTATCTCAAAATTATAACCTAATGTCATATTTTTTTATTTGCATCTTATAATTATGACCTATGAGATAAAAAGTGATCAAATATGAGATAAAAATGAGAGAAAACTAACTTTCAAAACATTTTGGACTTTTTATGTCTTATGCTATCTCATAATTATGATTGACCAAATCATGCTCTTTTTCTAATGTTAAGGGAATTGGGCTTCCATACAGAAGAGATCTCAATGATGTGCTCAGATTTGATCAGAAATCTCAATATGAACTCATTCATTTCATACTGTATCTCCATACTCTTACAGTATGTCAATAATTCTCTCGTTTGAGACTATTTTTATTTGTCCTCAAGAAGACAAAGTTGATTCTTAAATAAAACCTAACCGAGCTCTCCATGAAGTCTCCTGAGCTATGAAAGAAAATCCTCGCTGCAATGAAACCTTCGTCTGGTCGCACACAGTTATTCTTTGACGGTAGGTTATGAGGGTAACTATGTAAGAGGACAGTTGCAGCATTTGACTCAGAATATCGGCATCACGTCCACGTTCAGGCGTTGAAATAAAAACCGTGGCGTTGTGAAACCATCTCTCGCCACAGAGACTCCATCGGGCCCCCGGCCCAGAATACACAGGCCGCAAAAAGCACAGACCACCAAAACAGAACCACAACACTGGCCAAAGGTGTCAATTGACACCAAAAATACTGCAGCATGTGCTCTGAACGCAATAATAGAGCCGAGACGCAACTCTCTGACTTTCAAAAGCTCATGTTTTTTTCTCCTGCTGTTATTCAGAAAAACATTATAAATAAAGCCTTCCGATATGTAGTTATGTGAGGAGTTAACTCAGACGGAGTGATAACCGGGGCTAATCTTAGCATCCTAATGCCTTAAGCCCAAAATACGGTGGCTAAGAATAGTGGAGCTTGAAGTCAAGAGGCCAGAACGTTCAACATGCAGCCGCGGGCAGTAACGTAGCGCAGAGGCACAGAGGGGTAAATAACTGCCCTCTCACGCCATTCCTAAAGCGGGACACCGTGCACAAACACACCTGGGCACAACACAATACTTGTCAAAAGAGGTTTCTTAGAAACGACAAATCAAGTATGAAGTAAACACGCATCCACCCGCTAAACGCTGATTAGACCTGACAATACACTGCCATTCAGAAGTTTAGTGCTCAAAATGAATGCTTGTGACAGTTAAGACATTTATAATGTTACAAAAGATTTCCATTTCAAATAAATGCTGTTCTTTTGAACTTTCCGTCCATCAAAGAATCCTGAAAAATAAAATGCATCACACTTTCCACAAAAATATTAAGCAGCACAACTGTTTTCAACGTTGATAATAATCAGAAATGTTTCTTGAGCAGCGAATCAGCATATTAGAATGATTTCTGAAGAATCACTGAAGACTGGAGTAATGATGCTGAAAATTCTGACATTTTAAAATATAATCACATAGAAAAAAAGCTATTTTAAATTGCAATATTATTTCACAGTTTTGCTGTTTTTACTGTATTTTTGATCAAATAAATGCAGCCTTGGTGAGCAGAAGAGACTTCTTTCAAAGAAAGGTAAAAATCTTACTGACGAGTAGTTTATGGTGCTTAATGCATTGCTTATGTCCCAATTTGCAGACTATCCATGCTAAATAGTGTGCAATATTACAATTTGTGCCTCCAGATCACTTTTCATGACCTTTTTATTTTAAGAAAAATGGCAAAGAATGCTAGTTAGAAAGTAGGCCAATTGATTGTAATAAAGAGGTCTTTTTTTATAGCATGCACTTTCGCATCAGCAGCCATACATTCAGTGCGTAGTAGAAATATGCTAAATGGAACACACACACACACACACACACACACACACTTGGAGGAAGGTCTGAGAGAAACAACTCCTCGTAGACAACAGATGCTAAAAACAGAGTAAAGATCACATCACTGCACTGTTAACATGATGAGTGACAAGCTGCTAGACTCAATAATCAATAGCTATTTTTGGAAGCATACTACCGTATTTCTCTTTCTGCAGTGCAAGTATTTTTGTCTTGTTTTCCTTTACAAGCATTTAAAATTCTTAAATCAAGATATACATTTATTTGATAAGGAAAATGGCATCAAGCCTTTTTTTCATTTCTTTAAAAAAATCTAAATTAAGTGAGTTTATGCTTTAAAGAAAAGAAAAAATCGTCATCATCTGTCAGTGAGGTAATAATCTTGCTTTCCCTTTGAATTCAGTTTATTTTTCTGACCCCATTGGCAGATATTTTTTCTTGTTTTAAGTATACAACAGAGCACAATGCATGCGGTACTGTATCCCACAATGCAATGCGCTCAGCCTGACCTTCCATTTCCAGTGTGATGAATGAACCAGAAGTAACACCCACCTATTAATATCTCCTGCTTGACTCATTTTTAACAGGTTCGCCAAAAGTTAAGATGGTTTTGCATTAAAAAAAGCATTAAAAATACAAAATAACTGCTATTCTTTTAATAAAATTCACAAACTATTGAGGTAATGTGACAATTTAGCAAGCTACTGATTCAAATGTTTATCACCGCACAATTCAGATTACTACCCTTACCAAAAAGTAGTATACTTCAAGTTTATTTTATTAAGTACACTTAAGTTCAAGTATATTTTTAAGTATACTTTATGTAGTAAGTATACAAATATCAGTGTACTAGTAGTATACTTGTAAGTGTACTATTTCAATACTCCTTGGGACTAAATTGGCCCACTTTCTAGTATATAAAAGTATACTTTTAAGTATACTTTAAGTATAACAGTAGTAAAATTTAAGTACACAACTAGTTTACAACAATATTTGTAGCTTGTACTGCAACTATACTAAAAGTGAACTTATAGGTATACGGATAGTTTTCTAATTAAATAAACATTTTATTCTAGCTTCATGCATTCTTTGTTTTTTAAACACATGAATGTGGGTAAGTTTAATAAATAATAATAAAAAAGAAATACACAACATTTTGAACAAAAAGCTGAAAAAAGACTATGAATTGGATTCAGAATGATAATCAAAACGTAGATAAAGTCGACACACTTGAAAAAACTTATTTTTTGTAAGGGTATATGTGTTTTTAATAGTTAGTATGCAGTATATACTTCAGAGTATTCAGCAAGTAAGCTAACATACCAAAACATTGCAAAAGGGAGTTTGCAGCCATTCATTTGATGTGAGTCACTTGCTTTTGAAAACCCATACACTGATTGTGAGATGAAACAATACATGGAGCTATCAGTGGCGTCTGGATCTAGATTTGACCTGGTTAAGAGCTGTTGAATCATCCACACACACTCTGATGTGAAGAACTCACATCACAAATACAGCAGAGATCTCCATACGAACTCAAACTCTTCTCATCACTTCTCTCCACATTCGTTTTATAGCTCTATTCTCTTACTACATGACAACTATTTGTCCTTTTTTAATTTCTCAGAGGGAATTTTAGGAGAAACATCTGAGAACGGGCTGATTTGTAAATGATGCAAATAAAATTAATTTAAAAATGATAAATATTAACGTCATTTGACTTTTTATGTTGCCGTATATCAAAGTTTTTTTTACATTGCAATAATCCAAATTGTCATTCTCATTACTTGTAATTCGTTTAAAATTACATTTGAGTAATTTTAAAATAAATTACATATAATTGTTATAACTTAATACATTAATTAAATGAATAAATTCGTATTTTAACTAAATGTACTTTTTGTATTGTACTTTATCTGATTTTTTTATTGTAAGTCAAATTAAAATCCAAATTTTATTTAATTCAACTTTTTGTACTTTCTCATCAAATGATGTGAGCTGCTCCATGTTCATTTGATAACCCTTATAGTCTTGCTATAACATTTTTTGTGTCTTTTTTTTTTTTTTTTTTAATTTACGGAGACCTCTGTAAAATCTTACACTGTATGTTGATTGATTTTCTTAGATAAATCAGAAAAATTTGAATTTTCATTACTGCAATGTGAAAAATATTTAAATTGTAACATTTTTCAATTATAAAAATATACATTATTATTTAAATTATTTGTAATGAATTCAATTTATTTTGATCTGAATTTTAGTTACAATAATAAAATAAAACAAAAATGTACCATACAAAACATAATTAATTTTTATATAGTTTAAACATTTGTTTCAGTTACAAATTAGTCTTGGTGTTTCTCCTAAAATTCCTCAGGAGAACTAGAAATATTTAAAAACAAACAAACAAAAAGTTTATAAAACAAGATTTAAAAATCTGCCGATGGGGTAAGAACATTTAACTTCATTCAAAGGGAAAATGAGTTTTATCTTTCTCACCCCATTGCCATTTTTTAAGTATAAACTCACTTGAATTTGACAAATTTTTCAGAAAACTAAACTTTACAGTTTATGTTATTTTGCTTCTCAATATTTAAGAATGTTTTGATACTTGTACTGGAAAACAATACAAAAAGTCTTGGTTTTTGCGGTGTAGACAAACAGCTCTATACTGAAGATCAACGACTCATTTGTTAAACACTGCAATGTTGCATCAGAAGTTTCTCTCGGAGCACCTGATAGACTGCAGCGAGTTCTGCCGCTGTACCTGAAGCCATGGCCGTGCTGTGAGAGTCCAGGGGTCTCCTCCTCCACTCTGCACTGATGCTGGAGTCAGATTCATAAATGGTCTGCAGCATAACTCGAGCGTCCTCTGCTCCGGTCCTGTCCTGTGCAGAGTCCTTGGGGCTTCTGTGTCTGTGCCTCTAGCAGGTAGATGAGCGAGGAGATGTCACAGCTCTGTTCCTGCCTCTCAGCCTCTGCACAGGAACCTGAAGCAGCTCTGTCTCATGCTTTCTCTCTCTGTTACTCTTCCTAACCGCGTTGTCTCTGTCTCTCTCTCTCTCTCTCTCTCTCAGGTGCCAAGAATAGCAGCAGGACCAGCCCAGGACAGAAATAGGCCGGGCCAGACCAGGGGAATAGAGCAGCGGCCAGATGCTCAAAATAGCATCACAAAAACACAGCTGTCTGCCTTCATCTCTTCCCTGCACTCTCTCTATTTCTCCTTTCATTTATCTCTGCATGGGTGAATCGCACGAACAAGCCACCAGCTCCAGTTTCACCACAAACCAGAGGAAAGAAATACCAATCTAGGTCTTAGGTGAAGAAAATGAAGCCTGAAAGGCGTTGTGAAGTTATTTTCATGACAATTAGGCACATTTAACACTAAATTCTCATGACTGTGACACAAATATTGCACAAAACAACATTCATTTACTTAAAAAGAAAAACAAAAAATCCTTATTAAATCATTATTGTAAAATAATTGAAAAATAGACTGATTAATATTAAAATAAAAATATTAATGTAATTTTACTTTTTGTAATGTATAATTAACAATTTTAACAATTCATAATTTACTTTGTCAAAAATTAAATAAATGTAGCAAAAAATGTTGAAGTGATAATTCAAATAATCAAAGTGATATATCAATGGTTATTTTTTTACATTGCAGCAAATTCTCATTCTCATTATTGTAGTTTATTTTAAACTTAAATTAAAATAAAAAAATATTAATGTAATTTTAATGCTGGAAATATGTTCAGAAAAATATTTTGTAGCATTATTGTACAATTACTCAAATTACATTAAAATAAATGTTAAATGAAAAATATGAATGCAACTTTAATGCTAAAAATAGCATTTTCGTTTACTTCAACAAGAAAAAATCTCATTATTGTCATTATTGTAAATTTACTAAAATTACAACAAAAATATTAATGTAATTTAACTTTTTGTAATGTATAATTTACAATTTTAACAATTAATAATTTTTATAATTTACTTTGTAAAAAATTAAATAAATGTAGTAAACATTTTTGAAGTGATCATTCAAATAATCAAAGTAATATATCAACTTTTTCTTTTTTTTTACATTGCAGCAAATTCTCATTCTCATTATTGTAGTTTATTTTAAACTTAAATTAAAATTAAAGGGGTCATATGATGCTGCTAAAAAGAACATTATTTTGTGTATTTGGTGTAATGAAATGTTTATGCGGTTTAAGGTTCAAAAAACATTATTTTCCACATACTGTACATTATTGTTTCTCCTCTGTGCCCCGCCTTTCTGAAACGCGTCGATTTTTACAAAGCTCATCGGTCTGAAAAGTGAGGTGTGCTCTGATTGGCCAGCTATCCAGTGCGTTGTGATTGGCCGAATACCTCAAGCGTGTGACGGAAATGTTACACCCCTCACCATACTGTGATGCCGTGTCCCGGCCGGAGCGACGAGACAAAAACATTAAAACCCATTATAAACGAGGCATTTGTTGCATCCAGTGGGGACATAATTAAGGATTATAATGACTTATACAGTCTTTTTACGCGTTGCGTTGCATCGCGCCGCGTAAACATAAAACCATGTCTGCATTTGTGATCGGAGAAATGACAAACAACAAGCCCTACTCTACACTGCTCAAAACTCGCGTTTGAATCATCAGTGGCAAATCCTTTAAATGAAAAC